AATTAATAAGCTGTATTAATTAATTAATTCATAATATTTATTTTTACATTTGTTTTTTATTTATACATCATAAATAATTTTAATTGCTTAAAATTCCAGGCATAAATTAGATCATTTTAAAAAACATGTACCGCCTTTTAACTTGGCTTGCAGCCTTCTTCTGTCTCTTAAAACCCTCCTACGATCACTGCCCACCTGATGTCAGAGTGATCAATATCCCTGGACGTCCATTGCCATCGCCATCCATAACAAGGCAAAATCCCAGGCCGAAAACGCCTCCGCTCTGCCATACCCATTTTCCGCTTTCCATCCGCCCATTTGCTACCGTTTAGCCAGATTGATTTCGGGCCAGAAGCCGCACGACTCCGCCGATCACTCCCCTGTTTTCGGTGGGGGAAAAGGAGGCGTCACGCCCACCGGTGCAGTTTTCCCATCGCCGGGCCCATCAATCAATTTCGAGTGCTCGCAGTGAGCGGGAGGCACTCCACTTGCCTCTACCTGCCTCCGAATATCCCAATCCGCGAGGAGGACGTGGCGGCGAGGCTAGGCCTGTGAGCGCTTTTGGCTGTAAAAATTGTTTCGGCATCATTTTTCATATCCGCAACCGAAACAAATCCAAGAAAAAAGCCAGAAAACAATATCCAGTCGGCGGCATGCAAATCGAGTTGCATCCTAACAGCAGGAGCTTCATATACTGATGGGAAACCAAAAGGTGAACACTGTCTTTGGTAGCCGACATTTCGAATTCCTTGTTATTAGTATTAGTATTTGATATCCAGCAACATTGGCAGGATCCGATCGACAATTTATTTCTTAGATGAAATTGTTTAGTTTTTCAGTGGTCTTTGTCAATTTTTTGTGGTATGATTTTTTAAAGTATGTTACGTTTATTATGTGGAAGATAAAAGTTTAACAAGTCCAACCAGCTTTAGTCTAAACAATCTACCAGAAAATTGAATTTTTAAACATTTTGTGGGCTTGCAAAACGGGCATTTTTAAGCTGAATAAAAAAAAGAAAATTATATTAAATATTTTTCTTTTCAGATTGCAATTTGTATCCTATTGGATACGTATTTTTAAACTGCTTATAAATACAATAATACACTCTGTAAGGGTAAAAGAGTATGATGGATGGAGGAGAGTTAAGTTTCGGTGGGCAGGGGTGCGTATACGTGATCGCTGCATTTCTTTGGTCTTTCTGCGGCGCTTTGTTTGCGCTGCCATCGACACTCCGCCTCTCCACCTCTCGTCCCCCATTTTGGGCCTTGTTTGCTCTTGGCAGTGGCGAGCAAAAGAGACAGCTGCATAAAAGCAGAGAGAGACAGCTGCAGCGAGGCAGAAAGAGACGGAGATAGAAAGAAGGATTCGCTGTAGCGCGAATTTGTTGCAATTTCTCATTGTCAGCGAACGCGTTCGCCGGTAAATTTTGATTAAACGCTCCCCGGGAATTCACTTTGCCTTGCACTTTTTTGTTTTTATTTTTTCTGCCGATAGGAGGTGGCATGCCCCAAACCCCAAACCCCATCCCCCACCTCAGCAATCCCACATCCCAGTTGGTGGCCAACTCTTTCGTTTGAATTTGATAAATGGCGCTCGTTGCAAAGCGATATGTTATGCAATTTAGGGATTTCTTTTTGGTTAAAAAATATTGAAGCGATAGCTAAATGTTTGTACAACTTGAAAATAAATGAACTGGCATAAAAAGAGAAAAGGAATGTGATGAGAGTTTAATCAGGCTTTTGGAAATCAATTTGCCAAGGGTCTGGGAAAGGTGAGATGTCTTTTAGGGTGCGAGAATTCGTGAGAATGAAAATATAACATGCCTCACAATTTAGTAACTTATCTTAAAACTGTGTCCTCAGATTAAATCGTCCTCACTTAAGTACCAAACCCTATAATAAACCTGCTTAAAAGGAAGCAGCATAATATAAACTTACAAATTGCACAACCTGATCTCGAGGCGATACAACGTAAACAAGGGCAAATTGATGCCTGACCGACAAGCGGTAATAATAACTTCGTGTCAATTAATCAGCGTTAAATCAGAGCGTCAACATTGCCGCCCTGCTTCACGATCTGCTTCTTTTTTAGTTTTTTCCTGTTTTTTACAAAATTCGCCAAAGAAGAATCGAATAATAGCAATTCACATTTTACACAAACAACAATCGATTAAGGGAAGGGCAACACTGGTCGAAAAGCGCAGCCAGCTTTTTGCCTTTACTTAACCTGGTCACTTTAATCCTTTTCGTGCTCAATTTTCGGCTAAGCAAGTCACGTGCTCCTCGATTTGCAAGCTTTATAGTAAGAAAATTGTAAAACATTTTGTATTTATATAATTTTCAAAATTATTTCTCTCAGAAATGAAGCCCCAATCTCCGAAAAAGAAGGCATCCAAGGCCAAACCGAAGGCCACAGTGCCGCCTAAGAATACCCAATCTAAGGTGGCCGCCGCAGAAACCGCAGCTCCTGCAAAATCTTCTGCCCCCACTGTGTCTTCTAAGAAAGTAGCAAAAGCTCCGGCAGTGGCTCTAAAGAATCTGGGTACCGCCCTGAAAGGGTTAAGTATCAAAACCGTCGAAACTGCTGGGAAGGAGGTGGACTCATCCTCCGGTTCTTCGGCCACTTTGATTGCTAAGAAACGCAAATCTGCAGCCCCGAAACGTGAGACCACAACCAAATCGGATGCTCCAGCTGCCAAAAAGGTGACTCCGCAACAAACTACCAAGTCAAAAACTCCGGCAACTCCAAAGCCCGAAAAAAAGGAAAAAGCATCCAAGGCAGAAGTCGCTCCGATAGCCACCGAAATGAAGGCTGCTGCTCCGGCCAAACCCAAAACCAAACCAAAGCCGAAGGCCAAGCCCCCGAAGAATCTTCTGCGCGGAAAAAAGGTCTCCAAAAAGAAGGTCTGGCAACGCTTCGTCATCGACTGCGCATGCGTGGCCGAGGATTTGCTCCTGGACGTCTCCGATCTTGAGAAGTACCTGAAGACGCACATCAAGGTCAAGAATAAGGTCAACCAGCTGGGCGACCTGGTGTACTTCGAGCGTCCCAAGAACGACTCGCTGATCGTGCACAGTGCGGTGCACTTCTCGAAGCGCTACTTCAAGTACCTGGCCAAGCGCTATCTGAAGAAGCACAGCCTGCGCGACTGGGTGCGCGTTGTGTCCACCGGCAAGGACACGTTCGCCATGCGCTACTTCCAGATGCAGGGCCAGGACGACGACGAAGGGGATGATTCGGACTAGGAACTTTTCAGCTTCCTGTCACTCCCAACAATTTTAAAATGGGCCACTTTTAAAAGAAAAATATTTTTCGCTAATTCATCTGTACTTTAAAATGCTTTGGGTTTTTTAAGTATGACTTTTAAATTGGCGCATAAATATAAAAAAAAAATTATTCCTCAACAACTTTACATTAACCCATCCCATTCAGAATAAATTGAAAAAGATGTATTTTAAAACATTTTTACGTAACAGTATTTTAATTACTCAACTAAGTAATTTTGCTTTGAAGCCATTGCCTTTTAAAAATTCCATTTGTTTTGTAGTCTCCTTGAAAAACTAGCAAGTGTATATATCTTAAAAGCAGGTAGGAAGGATTGTTTCTTCGTTTAGGCTGCCTTTTTCGCATCCAGTCTTAACTTTTAACTTGGACGATTGACATTTCGGAGAGGGCCTCGAGTGGTTTTCGTCTTGTTTTGATTGGGAGAAGGAGGAGCCAGTCTTGTTTTCTTTACCTTTTTTACGCTTTTGTAAATACCTTAAATTGCCCCATTGGTTGGGATTGTGTGTTCGATGCCAGGCGGCTTAATTGCTTCGCTGTGGGTCTGTCAAATGGCCAAAACCATGGGACGGGGGGCAGAGGTCTGTCAGCGTTGGCCGTAGGTGGTCCATAACAAGCTAATGAAATGCGAATCCAACGAAAATGCGACCAACCGAGTGAGTCAGGCAGCTGTCAAAATCGAAATCAACCTGAGCACTTGCGGGCCCGTTCGCTTTGTCTGGGGGGCCAAAAAGAACCCAATGTCTGAAGCGAAATATTCACGACAGCCGGGGAGGAGAATACGAATACAAAGCGAAAATAAACATAAACGTCATGCAAATCGTATGGTAATTGCTGTCATCGCCGGCTCTTGTCAAAACGGGTTGAAGTGTTTTGTAAATGCCAGAAAAAATTAAATTCCAGACATGCAGACGAGTACCAATAATGATAATAAGAATGTTAAAGGGGCTTCAGCAGATGGGAAGTCGAGAGAGGCACACACGCGATTATTATTTTGTCAAATGGGAAAACGATATCATGTCCAAACAGAAGGAACAGCATCTGACAGTAGACTTAACTGGCAAAAAATCTGACAGCCAACAGTGACTCAAATTGAATGAACTAACACTCATGGGTGTTGCTTATCAGACTCCTGACATTTACAATTTTGTCCTATTAATAAACATGTTTATCATTTGTTAGTAACTAACAAAGTTTACCTTTTATTTATAACAAACATTTGAACGATGAGTAATGATGACAGCTTGCTTTCGTTTTACGAATCATTTAATGGAAAAATAATATTAACGCGACTGTCACTTTATTAGTTCCAAATTAAATCGATTGCAATCACTGTTTTTAGAGTTGGGAAACATTGTGTCAATAGTATGGAATATATAAAAAAAAAATTGTTATTGTATTTTAAATTTAAAAAGCATTGTTTAAATTAAGCTTAAAATAGCTACATCTTAATTGTGTCTACAATTTTACAAATGACCCTTATACGTTATATGACTACGTTTCATAGCTTATTATTAAAATCAAAAAAATTATTTTATAAAAATATATTACCTAATTACATTACAAGGAAGGGGTAACCAGAGGTTTGGAGTTACCCCAGTATGGTCACAAAAGTAAAGTTAAGCAACCGAAAGCCAACTCGATAGAAAACTAGAGGCAGTGTGAAAATGCTATTTAATACAAACCCAAATATTCGATATACCTATACTATCGCGAGTGCTTAGCCCAGCTCTACTGTTTTTAATCTCATCCCAGTTGGGTTTTAATTACAGATCCAGAATCTCAAAGACTGTAATCCATTCGGACTCGAGGTTAGTTAATCCCTGTCCCTGGCTAAGCTAATTAACACATCGATTACAACGTTGCGCGGACAGTGTCGCTTAAAATTGATGGCGCTCGTTAAAATATCTCCCTTGTCCGTGATTGCGAGGCCTTCTGGTCTTGACTGCGCCAACTGGTTGCGTCTATTTTTAGGGCCATGGCCCTCGAGCAGCAGGTGCACTTGTGGTCCATAGATGATCACATTCGCGAACCAGTTGGCGCATCATCGCCGTCACCACCATCTGTGGATCGCCATCAAGTGTAGGTGACGGATAGCCTCGGACTGCCAATATCGCTTACTTCCAGACAATGGATGGGCCATGATATCCACACTTCTGGGCCACACAAGTTATTCTCTCTTTTGTTCCGCCGGCATTGACACTTTTTTCGCCCTCATCCACTTGAGCAAATTATTATCTTTCTCTGCTAACGCGTTTCGGCTCTTTAAATTTAATTTCAGATCATTAAACCGACCCTTTTTCAACTTGATCGCTTTTCGGTGACTATATTCCAAAATGTCAGATAATGGCGAAAGGTGAGTCGATTGGAATCGAATTTAAAAATGTATTGTGTTACTTTTAATATGTTTATTCCCACAGGACTCTTAAGGAAGGCAGCATGGTGGGTTTAATCTGTGACGACGGAGTGATTATGGCCACCAGTTCGAGGGACCATCTTTTTTACCTCCTGGAAGAACGCATTTAGTAAGGGCATTCAAATTTTGTTTTCGTATTCTTTGCTCAAGTTTTCTGAAAGAGGGTTTTTTAATTTATAGATATGGTATTTTTCTCATATTAAAATCAGTAGAACATTCAATTCGGATCGTTACATTTTAAAGTTTAGTAAAAAAAAATATGGCAAACCTTTAAAAGTTAGCTGTTACCAATTTTTTTTGGATTATTTGATATTAAATTAACAAATATAAGTACTATAAAGGTATACTCTAACATTCATACCGATAATTTTATTATTTTGTTACTGCAAGGTTAACATAAGTACTTCGAATTTTGAATATGAATTTTCTTTCTGTTGGAAAAGTATTATCCAAAGTAAAAAATTGAATAACTTCTTAATAAAAACTTGAAATTCTCCTTTTAAATAGTTTTTGCAAGAGATTTTCAATAAAAGTTACCAGTTTTACAAACAATTAAAAAAAAAATTTATGAGACCTGTTTGTAAGTTTTTTGATAAAAATTAAGAAATTATTAATTCTCAAAATTTATCAGTTTTTAATTATCTTGTCTAAGATAATAATAATTAATAATATGGTTAAAAGCACATGAATGCCCTTGTAATTTGTTATCTACAGCTGCTGTGCCCCTCGTTCTGGAATTGAACGCAAAAAAATTCTGGATGTGGGCGTGAAGGTGGACTACCTAACCCGTGAGTTGGGACAAAAGATGACGGTGGCCCTGGTGCGGGACTTGTTGTGCCAGAAGTTCGAATACGACGAGTCCGTGGATGTCCTGCTGGGCGGCCAGGATGATTTGGGCCTCCATATCTACAGTTTGAAAGCAAATGGAGGATCCAGGCGGGTGATATATGCAGCAAAAGGCAAAGAATCTGATGACGCAGTGGCTTATTTGGCGGAGCACTGGAAGGAGTCCTTGTCACTGGACGAAGCTGAGCAGTTGGCTCGGGAATCACTCAAATTGGAGGACAATGACTACGTGGAGATATGCGTCATCAATAGGGCTGAACAAACAGAGGAACCAGCTTCCGATGAGGATAACTAGTCTGGCAGATCGCAGACCAGCAATTGGTAGATCCTTCATTTACCTTCTATGTAGTAGTTAATCGCATCATTCCCTTTTCACGTTGAAATAAATGAATTGTTAATGCTAGACTGCCTCCCCGGTAATTAGCCGCATTTCTCAGCGTTTTGCAAGTTGGCAAGGAATAGATTAGGCCCTCCTCCCACCGAAAAGGGGGCGCGCAAGCACAAGTGATTTATACTGCACCCCGACTTGGATAATTAATAATGATTAAAGGCTGGCGCCCATCAACGGGCAGGCAGCTTTGAGTCCTTACACGCGTTATATATAGCTCTATATAGATCCCCACTAACCAGATCCGCTCGTTCGCCTCCGGGGGACTGGCATCCAGCTGTGCGGATTAACTTGAATTTATATGTTCTGCCTGCATTTGAATAATTTCATATTCGAGCTGGGAATCGGGATCTCTATCTTCCACACCCCCTCGTTGCTTTTTTTCTTCATTTTCAGTGCGTGACCAGGCTTCATTTTCTACTCCTCCAGCCAGTTGTGTGGTCTCCTTCCATTGACAGCTCTTGGGTGGCATTATGCTATCTGCTCCGGATTTTCACTTTTCTGGCCAGCACTCCAGACAGTTGCTAATTGATTTCTACGTAGATTGGACTTCTTGTTAATCGGCTGCGCGGCGGGTTAAGTGGATCTCAAAAGGATATGATTAAGTATCTGAACTGCGTGAGTCTAAAATCAGCAAATTGTTAGTTTACGGTATTTTATCTATTTTTCAAGCTAAGATTAAATTTCTTTAGTATCATTTATATGGTAAAAACAAACGGTCTGACAATTAACAAGAAGATTTAATTTGTAAAGTCTGAGCTAATAATACAAATTTTAATATAAACGTTTAATAAGACAATTATGTGAAGTGATCAACTGCAATGCTTCCAATAAATAATTTCTTAAATTGGCGTAAATCGATTTTATATTTTACATTTAAGAGGTTTTGATAATATTTGTCGTTGGAAAGTGGTTTTACTTAACTTTCTCTGGTTTTATTGCATAATTTAACCAGCTCAGCGAAATTTGCCTTATATTTCATCTGTCTTCTCAGCGATTTAACCATGAATCCCAATATTTTGGCTCACTCGACCTCAAACCCTTTTCTGTTGATAAGCAAATATTTGGATGGCATTTCACTCTCCCTCTTTTATTCATATTATTCTTTTTTTTCGCGTTTCATCCAATCTGAAAGTGCAATCTCTGACGAAAATAAAATGTCAATGCCAGGGCGATAAGACAAGAAGGACGAGGTGAAAAAAATCAAACATCAAATATTCCCAATAAATTAAATGCGGTGAGTTCCGAGAAGGACCCATCCTCTTTCAGCCGGCATTCAATAATATTTCACTTTCAATCTGCAAAAAGGTGCGAAGAAGCTGGCCCAGGGGTTTCGTTGGGAGGGGGGACCATCTGAATACGAAATCGAGTTGTGCTACCTTTTGATATCTTTATTTACCCCACACCAGCCCGAAAAAATACAGAGAGGTGCACAGCAATGCAGACAGTGTCACCTTTCAGCGGCTCGAGGTGGAAATATATTTATGTGGCATGCAACTTGCAAGGTGTGACAACAAGAAAATTTATCTGCACCATCTCTGCAGCACCTTCATCTCCTGACCTCCTCCCGCAACCCACACTTCAGGGGCAGAATGCATATGAGCGGGCTACCGCCAGTGGATTTATATGGGATCCGAGTTGGGGATTGCCATCTTAATGCGACATTAACTCGGCGGAATCTGTGTGTTTGGCCCAGGCAAATATGAGGTGCATAATGTACACGAACGTGTTGGGCGGAAGGGATTATCTATGGAATAGTCACCTGTTGCTCTGGGCAGATAAATGCATTACAGGTGTAGTACACATAAGTGTGAATAAATCCCAGAAACTTAACCTATATGTGGACTTCAAAAATAATATCATGTTTAACAAGAAAGGAAGCAAACTTCGGCAAGCCGAAGTTTATATACCCTTGCAGCGCTATTGCAAAAATTAAATATTCTTGAAAACACTTTAATTTCGATGTATATTCGTATATGTTTTAAAACATTGAGCTATGATGATTTTCAGATCAAACATTCGATAGTTTCTATGGCAACTATAAGATATCGTTTTCCGATTTGAATTAAATTAAAATCGTACATCTAAACTATCAACTTATTACTATTTCCGATAGATTTAAAAATAAATTCAAAAATAGATAAATTTAATTTGTTTAAAAAATTTTTTTGTAATATTCCGATTGTTTCTATGGGAGCTTCATAATATAGTCGTCCGATTTTGATGAAATTTAAAAATGAATTAAAAAATATTAAACCATTAGTATATCTCGAAGAACTACAAAAAACATAAAAAACAGCAAAGTTATAATTTTGTTTTTTTATTTTCGAACTATTCCTATGGAAGCTTAATGCTATAGACGACCGATCCGACTCTTTCCGACCTGCAATAAAAAAACAACTTTCTTGCAGATAGCTTTGAAACTGAGAGACAAGTTTGCCTAGATACGGGCGGACAGACGGACATGGCTAGTTCGACTCTCCTAGTGATGCGGGTCAAGAAGATATATACTTCATAGAGTCGGATATTTCTCCTTCACTGTGTTGCAAACTTCTAACTGAAATTATAATTCCCTCTGAGAGGATATATAAATAATGTGGGAGTTACTAATCCTTAAAAGGTATAAAAAAATAATTTTCTTACATTCGTTACTTGTTTACATGATTTCTCGGTTGCTAGAGTATTAATTGCCAATAGAAACGGTATCCAGGATATTAAACATTTTCACTATATGCTATAAAAACTATAAAAACAACTTTGTAAGTTCAACTTTTTATAACACTTTCTTGCCGACTATCTCTGCATAATAATTTATTTTTTATGGCTGCTGCTGCATTGGCAACTTTAATGAAATTGGACATGCAACATAAAGTAATTTGCTTTTAATTAATTTATAAATGCAGCAACATCAAAAATGGCAGCCGAAACGAACAGGAGCCGAGGCTGGAGGAGACTGGAATTAAGCCCCAGTCGTAAATAATTTTTATTCTCGCATTCCCTTATAGATTTTTATTTTGTTTGTGTTAATTTCAGTTTTATTTTTGCTGCTGTTGCTGTTGCATTTGCGGCATGCAACAAGCGGCACGAAGTGTCGCTGACAGCATGTCAACAGCACGTTGGGCGCAGGGAATCCGGGAGGCGATTGGCCACGCCCCCTTATATCGGAGGGCGTGTGCAATGGCAGCAATTTCATTAAAATTTACTGCACACTGCAGCGGCGAAAAAATTGTTGCGGTCAATTAACGTCAGCAACGCGTTGCCATCGCTGCGGCATAAACCCTTCACCGCTCCCGCCCCCCTTTCCATGCAATTTTCCGCCCTTTTCCCTTGATTTTCCCTCTGCTCATTAACAGCCGCCAGTGCTGAGTCCACAAGCGATTTTATTCGCATTTTGCATCTCTATACGAAACTTTTTGTTTATTGTCGCTGGCGTGAATAAATAAATAGGTTCCATTGACATATGCTCAAATAAATAATAGAGCGCATTTAAATTATTGCCCCCAGCTTCGGCCAGGATATTGCATGCAGTGCAGGAAGGAAGGAGGACTCCCTGTCCCATATCCTCCGATGTGGCTGTGAATTATGATCCGGACGGGGAGACCGCAAGACCCGCAGAGCCCCATAACAATAAACGGCGAGCCTTCAAGCCGACGACGATCATTTTTAATTTCGCACTCAACAAAGGCCCAGAAACTGACAATGGTGAGTGAATAATTTTCAGAAAATTATATTAAAAGGAGAAGGCTAGATACGCATAAAGCGAATTTTTAAATGCCACATTAATTTAAAAAATATCGTTTAAAAAAAGGGTTAATAAAAATACTTTATAGAGATTGCTGCATATTTTGAAGAAATTATTTCATTTTATTTTTTTCATAGTTTTTAATTTATTATTTTATTTTAATGATCAAATCCGTTTGGTTTAAACTAATGTTTGTTTCAGCCTCGGTTAAAATATTATTTGATATGTCGGTAGCCTTTTCCAAACTTATTTATATCTTTTGTTAGGATAAAAAGAATAAATCTCCTAAATGAAGCAATCGTACCCGAAGACGGAATAATTGCAAATCAACGAAATGGTTACTTCTTGTGTGATGAAATGAGTGCTGATATTTACTTTACTTCAATATACATCTTCTTATTCGTTTGCTAGAATTTATTTCAATGTACTTGCAAACCAATTTCCCGACCATCAGAGCGAGAACCCAATCAAATGCATTTGGCCTAGAGAATCCAGGCCACTTAATTGATAAACTTTTCCACTAAACTAATTTGTTTGTTGTTGCGCAGACTCAATCAGAGCCACAGAGCTGAACAAGTGAAAAGAATTTAATTAAGCTGCAGAAGCCAAACCAAAATGTTCCACAATATCGAGCAGACGGAGGGAAAAGTGAGAGGTCCAGACACAGATACCACGCGATGCGTGTGCCGAAGCCCCCGGGAAGTTGACCCCAAAAGGTTTCCATTCCCCAAACTCGCAAAAAGCCAACTTATTAAGCCTCCTTGCAAGTGGGCGTGGCGCAATAACACAGACCCTCTCGCATCGCAAAGGAAATTGCAGATGACTCGCTGGGCAGCCGAACCGCAAATTAGTTTCGCTTTGAAGGGGTTCTCCTCGGGATCCGGCTACCAATGTCAAGCCAAGTCCGCGCCTGAATAAATATGAAAATATTGTTCAAGTATCCAGCAACCAGGGCCCAAGGCGTCTTTCCTGGAAACAGAAAGAGCAACCGGAATAACAATAACAACAATCACCCCCCTAAACAGAGGGCCCTGAAAAATGGACTGGGGCACGGGGCACTGAGAAAAAATGAGGTAAACCCTTAAAAATAGTATTAAAAATTATATGGTATTGTAACTTGAAATTTAAATAATATTTTTGTATTTAGACAACTAATAATTTATTTATTTTATATTTCTTTAAACTATTGGTTGTATAATTTCTCTGCAAAACATTTTAAGCAAATGAAATATGTGAAAATGAATTTTTTTAAAAATCCGTTCAGTTTG